GGCTGAGGTGGGGCAAGGAGCTCTTCCCTGCTGCAGTTAGGTGTGAATGTTTAGCTGATCACCTTCATTAGCATTTGAAGGCCTGCCTGAGTCTGGGAAAATCTGTTGCTGGGAGGTGTTAATCTGTGCCTGGTTTTTTCCTCTCTGTGGTTTAGCTGTTATAATTTTAGAGTTTTTTAATACTGGTAGCCAGATTTTGTTCATTTTCATGGTTTCCTCCTTTCTGTTGAAATTGTCCACATGCTTGTGGATTTCAATGGCTTCTCAAAACAGTAGAGGGAAAACAATCATGCCTGTGGATTTCAATGGCCATACATCAAGGGAACCACTGACCGCATAGGGAAGCTGATGAGGAAACACAACATACAAACAATCTACAAACCCACCAAGAAAATCCAACAAATGCTACGTTCAGCAAAGGACAAGAGGGATCCTCTCACCTCTGCAGGAGCCTACCGTATACCATGCAGCTGTGGACAAGTCTACATAGGGACCACCAAACGCAGCATTGCCCAAACACGAATCAAGGAACATGAAAGGCACTGCAGACTACTTCAACCTGAGAAGTCAGCCATAGCAGAGCACCTGATGAACCAGCCTGGACACAGCATATTATTTGAGAACACAGAAATGCTGGACCACACCAACAACCACCATGTCAGACTACACAGAGAAGCCATTGAAATCCACAAGCATGTGGACAATTTCAACAGAAAGGAAGAGACCATGAAAATGAACAAAATCTGGCTACCAGTATTAAAAAACTCTAAAATTAACAGCTAAACAACAGAGAGGAAAAAACCAGGCACAGATTAACACCTCCCAGCAACAGATTTTCCCAGGCTCAGGCAGGCCTTCAAATGCTAATGAAGGTGATCAGCTAAACATTCACACCTAGCTCCAGCAGAGAAGAGCTCCTTGCCCCACCCCAGCCATTCCACAGATATATAAACCCATTTTCCTATTCCAACAGACCTCACTACCTCTGAGGATGCTTGCCATAGATGCAGGCGAAACGTCAGGAGAAAATGCCTCTAGAACATGGCCATATAGCCCGAAAAAACCCACAAGAACCTAAAAATCACATTCTTTGGCAGCAAAATCGACTAGTCTAACACTCCCTTTTCACCCTAGATTGGTTTTGTCTTTAACATTTAACTTATTGGAGCCACCAGAAAAATATAACTCAGAAACCTTACTCCTCAATCCATACAGGTGCAATCAGTAGACAGATAAGCAAATAACAAAGATTGAACAAAAGCCCACAAATGTGACCATTTTCCTCCAATTGTGCCATAGGCTACACATTCCTCTGAGAACAGGGAACAGCTTTGCAAAGTTATTAACTTCAGCAATAAAGTGACAACTGGAAACTTAAGTGGCTAACAAATGCCAGTGGCCACATGCTGGCAGAAGCTCCCTTTTGCTGGCAGAGAGGGAAAAGCATGCCAAGTGCTGTCTTGAGCAATTCTCCAATATGGACTCACCTCCTCTCTCATCCCATTAATATCTATGAAACAGATTTTGTTCTACTTAGCATCTTTTTTTGTAATGGAATTTCAGTTGTGGAGTTGATTCCCAGTAAGATTTGTCCCTCCAGTCCTTTAGCAAACGAGAACTTTCTTAGCAGTAAGGGCTAATAAATTGACTTCATGGTTGAGACTTGATTTCCACTGGGCTATTTTTTATTCTGTTAATAAGCATTTTAAAAATCTGAAGGTCACCTCACTACCTCTGAGGATGCTTACCATAGATGCAGGCAAAACATCAAGAGAGAATGCCTCTAGAACATGGCCATATAGCCCAAGAAAACCTTCAACAACTCAGTAATTCTGGCCATGAAAGCCTTCGACAATACAATATATGGTACACTCCAAAAAGAGAAAAAGAAAAAGAAACGGGGAAATGTAAGGAAAAAACATGCAACTAAAACTAAAATTAAGTAATACTAAAATACTTACTAATTAAAGAGTACTCAAAAGGGCTCTGACACCACTAATGCAAACTGTAAATAATAAAAAATAAAAATGAAACATAAATTAGGATAATATAGATCTAAATAATTTTGATATTTACTAATAACTCTAACTTCAGATTATTGCATCATTTGATTTATTATTGCTCAAAGTCCATAAATGGTTTCCAATCTTTCAAAACATCTTCAATTGGCTTATCCTTAAGAGCTCTCTCCTCCCCTCTTCTTTTCTTTTTCTCTCTCACACTAATTGATTTAATTATCAAAGTGGGAAGAAAACAATGTGGAGAATTAAAAATCAGCAAAACACTATCATCCACTACAAGGGAGGAGATTCCATCTGAACATGAGGAAGAACTTCCTGACTGTGAGAGCCGTTCAGCAGTGGAACTCTCTGCCCCGGAGTGTGGTGGAGGCTCCTTCTTTGGAAGCTTTTAAACAGAGGCTGGATGGCCATCTGTCTGGGGTGATTTGAATGCAATATTCCTGCTTCTTGGCAGGGGGTTGGACTGGATGGCCCATGAGGTCTCTTCCAACTCTTTGATTCTATGATTCTATGGGATAGGATCATAATACACCTTTCAGAATGATGGTAAAGTAAAGGGGGGGGGGGGTAGATAAAAATGTTTGGGAGAGAACTCACTCCCTCATTCTTTGCCACTGAGCTAAAATGGTTATGGCACATCCACTACTGATAGAAAGCTGTATTTTCTTTCTGTACAAGTTATAGTTCCAGACGTGCAAGTCTGGATCTACACTGCCCTGTATCTCAGCATATGATCTCAGACTGTGTGTTTGAACTGGATTATATGAGTCTCCATGTGACAGCGTGAGTGGCGCCATCTGTGTGTAGAACTGTTAGTTGCAAGATTTAAACTGTTGTATCATGCTTAACTCTGCCTTTTTACCCTGCTTATGCATAGTTGGATTGATTGGTTATTTATAACTGTCAATCAATGTTGTTTGCTCCAGTTGAACTGCTTTCTCAAGCTCAATTGTTTGGCTCCACCTCTTCCTGGAGGAGGGGAGTGCTTCCCTTTTTTCATTCTACCATCAGAGTTTCTATCAGATGGATGTGAGTAAGAGACTTGACTCTAAAAGACACAGACAAGCATCCCGAGCTCTGAGGATCACCTGGGAAGGAATCCCACTGGAGCATTGCAGCACACCCAAATACCTGGGAGTCACTCTGGACCGTGCTCTTACCTACAAGAAGCACTGCCTGAACATCAAGCAAAAAGTGGGTGCTAGAAACAATGTCATACGAAAGCTGACTGGCACAACCTGGGGATCACAACCAGACACAGTGAAGACATCTGCCCTTGCGCTATGCTACTCTGCTGCTGAGTATGCATGCCCAGTGTGGAACACATCTCACCACACTAAAACAGTGGATGTGGCTCTTAATGAGACATGCCGCATTATCACGGGGTGTCTGCGCCCTACACCACTGGAGAAATTACACTGCTTAGCCGGTATTGCACCACCTGACATCCGCCTGGAAGTAGCAGCCAATAGTGAAAGGACCAAGGCAGAGACATCTCCAGCTCATCCCCTGTTTGGGTATCAGCCAGCACGTCAACGACTTAAATCAAGAAATAGTTTTCTAAGATCTACAGAGACACTCGCTGGAACACCTCAGCAAGCGAGAGTTCAAAAGTGGCAGGCTCAAACCCAGCACCTCAATCCATGGGTGATACCAGATGAGAGACTCCCCCCTGGGCACACAGAAGACTGGGCGACTTGGAAGGCGCTGAACAGACTCCGCTCTGGCACCACGAGATGCAGAGCCAATCTTAAGAAATGGGGCTACAAAGCTGAATCCACGACATGCGAGTGTGGAGAAGAGCAAACCACTGACCACCTGCTGCAATGCAACCTGAGCCCTGCTACATGCACGATGGAGGACCTTCTTGCGGCAACACCAGAGGCACTCCAAGTGGCCAGATACTGGTCAAAGGACATTTAATCAGCTACCAAGTTTGCAAAATTTGTGTTTTTTGTTTTATCTGTTTGTTTGTTTTGTTCTGTTAGAAATGTAATACAATGTTCTGGTTGTGGATGACACAATAAATAAATAAATAAATAAATAAATAAATAAATAAATCTATGCATGTAAGGGACAGAATGTTAACCTAATGATGTTTCCTTTTCAGTACACTTTCCATACATCAGATCTGTTTTGAAAGTTGGAAGTTTCTTGAGCTGAGGAGACTTCTCCCTTTGCCTATGTTATTAGTCCTCAGATTGGAACATCAAGGTCATAAAAAAATCATTTACTTATCCAGAGCAGGCTACATTTCCTAATAAATTGAGCCAAACCACTACCATCCTCATAGAGGGGCAAACTGAGCTCATGCCTGCTGCTGCTCTGAGTGACAGCTATCCTTTTCCAGCTTTGGTTTCTGCTACTTCAAAGTACAAAGCAGTATCCTGAAAACGCCTTTTCTCCATTCTGCTTGACTAAAATAATTCAATGGACGTTTCACTGCTGTGAAATAACTTTGCATGTAATCGGCCCAAAGGCAATCTTCGTATGGGCTTGAAAAAAAGTATTTCCAATTGAAAATGCTACCAACAAGAGTCATTACTGTTTTTAAAAAAGGATGGAGGGAAATGAAAAATATTTTCAAATTGCACGGCAGAAGGAAACTCACCTCCTGGGCTTTGGTTAGTGTGTGTACAGTTCACCGCCTGCAGCAATTTATGTAAGATTGGATTTTGGAGGGAGGAAAACAGTCTCTCTCAAGACAATCACAGAAAAGTCTCTTGGTTACTTGGACCAGTTCATGACTTGGGTACAAAGGTTTATCAAAATAGTGTATTACATACCTCAAACATATATCTTCGCAACTGCAGTGTGTGAAATGGCTGTGTGGCTAATCTCTTTCATTCTGCCATTGTTGGTTCTTTTATCTATTTCCAGGTTCGAGCAAACCGTATTCTTGTTGCTTTTTTCAAGTATCAATGAAGTACTATCCATCCAATATTTGTATCCATACTGCTTAACAAAAACATTTCTGGTAAGAACTAAAAATACGGATCATATTTGCATGCCCTCTTTGTGCAGGGGCCAGGTTAATCTTCTCTGCATCCTCCTCAGTTTAGTATATCTGCTGTGAAAGTAAGCATGCTTTAATTTTTAAAGAGTCTGTACGCTAGAGCTCCCATTCCTTCTCAGGCTTTATGTAGCTGCTTTTTTCCTATCTTTGAGCAAAACAACATGTCCTAATGAGTCAAAAGTTATTTATTGTCCTTACCCCTCCCTAATTATGAAATAAATTAGAAGTGAAATTTGAAATAATATTCCCCTTGTTATTTAAGACAATAGCCAAGGCAATATCATGTATCATTTCTAATGTGTTAATTTGAATTCTGTGGACACCCATGTAAATGATTGAACATTAATACTGAAGCACTATACATTATGCGATTTGCCATTTCAAGACAGACAATGACATTTTTAGTAATTCACACTTGCAAGTTTAATGAACCACTCTAAAAGTACATCTACACAGTCGAATTAATGCGAAAAGGGCAAAAAAGAGCACAACTAAAACGCAAGTGGATTGTGCAAATGGACTCTGTGAACCCAACCTCCTCCAAGGTGAACTGAACCACCTAAACTGGGCTCTACAGGCTAATGGCTACTCTTCTGCAGACATTAGAAGAGCTGCAAGACCTGTTGTTGTTTATTCATTCAGTCGCTTCTGACTCTTTGTGACCTCATAGAATCATAGAATCAAAGAGTTGGAAGCGACCTCATGGGCCATCCAGTCCAACCCCCTGCCAGAAGCAGGAATATTGCATTCAAATCACCCCTGACAGATGGCCATCCAGCCTCTGTTTAAAAGCTTCCAAAGAAGGAACCTCCACCACACTCCGGGCAGAGAGTTCCACTGCTGAATGGCTCTCACGGTCAGGAAGTTCTTCCTCATGTTCAGATGGAATCTCCTTTCTTGTATTTTGGAGCCGTTGTTCCTTGTCCTAATCTCCATAGAAGCAGTAAACAAGCTTGCTCCCTCCTCCATGTGGCTTCCTCTCACATATTTATACATGGCTATCATATCTCCTCTCAGCCTTCTCTTCTTCAGGCTAAACATGCCCAGCTCCTTAAGCCGCTCCTCATAGGGCTTGTTCTCCAGACCCTTGATCATGTCACCCTCCTCTGGACACATTCCTGCTTGTCAATATCTCTCTTGAATTGTGGTGCCCAGAATTGGACACCATATTCCAGGTGTGGTCTAACCAAAGCGGAATAGAGGGGTAGCATTACTTCCCTAGATCTAGACACTATGCTCCTATTGATGCAGGCCAAGATCCCATTGGCTTTTTTTGCCACCACATCACATTGTTGGCTCATGTTTAACTTGTTGTCCATGAGGACTCCAAGATCTTTTTCACACGTACTGCTCTCGAGCCAGGCATTGTCCCCCATTCTGTATCTTTGCATTTTGTTTTTTTCTGCCTAAGTGGAGTATCTTGCATTTGTCATGGACAAACCCACGCCAGAGCTCCCTGTCAGCCATCACCACACCCAGCTCATTCAATGTCAAGCCAGTCACTTCAAGATACCATCCATCCATCTTGCTCTTGGTTGGCCCTTCTTCCTTTTTACTTCCATTTTCCCCAGCATAATTGTCCTCTCTAAGCTTTCCTGTCTTTCCTGCAAGACCCATTACAAGCCAAAAGAATAAAGAGCCGCCTAGAGGGAAGATGTTCTTACCATATATCAAGGGAACCACTGACCACATAGGGAAGCTGATGAAGAAACATAACCTACAAACTAGAACCACTAAGAAAATTCAACAAATTCTGTGTTCATCAAAGGATAAGAGGGATCCCCTGAGAACTGCAGGAGTCTATCACATATCGTGCAGCTATGGACAAGTCTACATAGGGACCACCAAACCACTTTGTCAGACTACACAGAGAAGCCATTGAAATCCACAAGCACATGGACAATTTCAACAGAAAGGAAGAAACCATGAAAAGGAACAAAATCTGGTTACCGGTACTGAAAAACACCAGAATAAAGACAGCAGTTAATGAACACCACCCGGACACAGGAAGCCCCCAGGCAGCAAACAATTCAAAGGGAACAAAGCCAGGCTACTTCTAGGCCAGTGGTTCTCAACCTGGGGTCCCCAGATGTTTTTGGCCTTCAACTCCCAGAAATCCTAACAGCTGGTAAACTGGCTGGGATTTCTGGGAGTTGTAGACCAAAAACATCTGGGGACCCCAGGTTGAGAACCACTGTTCTAGGCTGATGCCCTCACTATTGACTATGCAATCTTCTTACGACCTCATCGCATTGAGAGAGAAAAGCATTTGTGTCTTTTAGTGTAGAGAATGAGCCTCTTATATCATCAGTCATCCTGTTTCAAGTTCTGCCTCCCTATCACACTCTCACGTGGAAACTTGAGAATTGGTGACACATTCATCTTACATTACTTTCATCACAAGGTCAGTATTACTTTTTAGTCTTCAATCAGGAGAAAAAAACAATATCCAACAATCAAAAGATCCCTTGCCCTACCCAAAGCTCCTTACATTAAAGGAGAATGACACCAGTTTGAAACCTCATCTTCCCATGGGAAAAATTGTTCTGCTCCAAACCGCAGAGAATACATGAGACAGTGGTCCTGGTAAAAACCATTCCTTTCCATGGGATCCTATTGTTCTGCATGGAACCTCATAAGATACAAGAGACTGCTGGTGGTTGGGCAATGGAGCAGGATAGGAAACTTTGATGATTCCCATCGCATCTGATTTTCAGTTGTACAGACATGAGTAAAGTGTGTAAGAGGTAGGAGCTCTGAACATAATTGTTTTCAGAGTTCCCTCCTTTCAGGACATTTCTGCCTCTTTTCAGTCCTAGAACATGAGCTCCATGCCTCTCCATGCTTGAAAAGAGGCTGAAGTGTTCTGTGAGGAGGAAATTTCTCAATATGATGAGGTCAGATTGCCGACGTTCCCTCCTTTCAGGACACTTCTGCCTCTTTTCAACTACGGAGGGCTATGCATGACAGCCGGAAGTAGTTTAACTCATGTGATGAGCTCAGGGCCTCTCCGTGTTTGAATAGAGGCTGAAGTGTCCTACGACTGGGAAATTTCTCAATGTGATAAGGTAGTCAGTAGTTACTCACATGCTAATGGAGGAATCCTACTCAAACTCTTGCAAAGCTGGCTTGCTAATTGCACCCTTCACACTTGGTTAATAGACATTGGTTCTTTCTCACATCCTGGACATTCCACAGGTATAATATAATCCACTTGTTTTACTACCATCAGATCCTCTGAAGATGCCAGCAGCAGATGCAGACAAAACATCAGGAGAAAATGCTGCTAGAACACAGCTGTACAATCTGGAAACCACGGAACACTCCAGAATTAATGTGGTTTGACACCACCTTAACCACCCTAACCCTAACCTTAACCTTAACCCTAACCTTTAACCACCATGGCTCAATGCTATAGACTCCTGGGAGTTGTAGTTTGGTGATGCACCAGTACTTTGGCAGAGAAAGTTTAGACCTTGTAAAATTGCAACTCCCACAGTTCCATAGCATTGAGGCATGGCAATTAAAGTAGTGTTAAACTACATACATTCTATAGTGCTTGCTGTCGACCTTTGCAGCCTGAAAGACAGTTTATTTATTATTTATTTATTTAAAACATTTATATTCTGCCCTTCTCACCCCAAAGGGGACTCAGGGCACAGCATATACACGGCAAACATTCAATGCCGGGACACAAATTCACATACAATACATAAACATTAAAAACATTTATCAAAATATTAAAATACACTATTTAAAGGATGGTAAAAACTCGGCTGTGGGACCAGGCTTTCGGGAGGTCAATAAAGCGGCAATAGGAACGATGACCAGGCCAATTGATTTGATGCGGATGACTAGGACGGTTCCTAGTCATCCGCATCAAATCAATTGGCCTGGTCATCTTTCCTATTGCCACTTCATTGCCCTGTCCTGAAAGTTTGGTCCCACAGCCAAGTTTTTACCATCCTTCTAAAGGACAGGAGGGAGTGGGGTGACCTGATCTCACCAGGAAGGAAGTGCCATAGCCTGGGAGCAATTACCGAGAAGGCCCTGTCTCTTGTCCCCAGCAGTTGCATCTGTCAAGTAGGAAATTTAGGTACCGGGTAATTTACGACACCATAAAAATATCCAACAAGCATGCAAAGAATGAGGAAGTACTTCATCAGTGTCACAAATGGACAGTGAAGCGACAGCTCCCCTGGTTGCCAGAATACCCTCATGAAAAAGCTGGAATGTTAAATAGCCTCTGTGTGCCTGTCTATATATGTTGTGTATCTGTGGCACTGAATGTTTGCTATGTATATGTACATTGTAATCCGCCCTGAGTACCCTGCAGGGTGAGAAGAGCGGAATATAAATACTGTAAATAAATAATAATAAATAGTGTAGATGCACCTTGAAATTCGAATCCCCATACCCTCACAACTGGTGATCTCCAAAGTACAGGCATCATATGCCTTGTTCCCATATTTTCCTCATTATTAAGATAAACGTGCACAAAGCCACTCAGTGAAAAGGCAACTGCATTTACAGGAACAAATAAAGTCTACAAGTCTCATAATTTCTAATTGCAAACATTTGCCTCCAATGCACACCATGGCTGGCTTTATTTTCTGTGTACTGCTCCTTCCTTCCTTCCTCCCCCTCTTTCTCCCTTCACCTTCATTCTGGCACATGGTCTGACTTAAAAGCAAACCAGAAATATCTTTTGTTTCCAGAAGTTGGCAGGAAGTGGACAGGAGGCAGGCTGTTGGGCAAAGTGGAACTGCTGTCGCTAACAGTCCGAAGGGTAGAGAATACCATCCACTGGAGAACTGCATTATTACCTTGTAAAACAGTGAAACCTTCCTATTACTGCTTAATTAAAAGGCCAAGGCAAGGACACACTTTTATGACCTCCTTTAAGATATGTTCCCAATGCATATCATCAGGAAAAACATCAAAGGGCAGGCCCCCATTGTGGACCCCCCCTGTGATCCCCATAAGCATTTTTGAAAAGAAAAACAGTCTCAGAGTCCATGGCTGGCTTTTGGCACAGCGCACAAAAACTTCCCAAACTGGGACAC